ATGTAATAGGATCCCAATCCGAGGCTGAGATGTAATAGGATCCCAATCCGAGGCTGAGATGTAATAGGATCCCAATCCGAGGCTGAGATGTAATAAGATCCCAATCCGAGGTTGAGATGTAATACGATCCCAATCCGAGGTTGAGAGCAAAATCAGTATCATGAAATGTAGATTCCGATACGAAGGTTAAAAGTAAAATCGAGTTCACTATATGAAGGTTAGAAGTGAATAAATTGAATGTTTGATAAAAATTAAATCGTCAGTCTGTTGTTGTCAGTTGAATGTTTTGAACGTGACTTGTAATACGAGTCCAATCCGAGGCTGAGAGCAAAATCAGTAAATTCGTCGAGAATAGGCAGTGTATTCTACTAAGAGCATAGAATATCATAAATAGAAATCAGAGAATAGAGTTTAATCGGAATTCGTTTGTGATTTTGCCACCGTTAGGGGAAAAAGAGGATTTTAGTAGAACGACCTGTTTGACCTCCCCCGGAAATGATTCTGAACCTCAATGAATATCAATCCGACGCTTCCAATCCGTTTCTTACTGAGTGAAAGGTGGAAGACTACTACGTTTATTATTTTTAAGAGTTTACTGCGAATCTCCCGGTTTGTCTTTAGCAAATAAAATAGCTTTTTCCGTGCTCCGTTCAGTGTAAAATAAGCACGCAGAAAGTGGATAAGCACAAAAGAAGTGTAAGGAGAAGAACGAGCCGTAAGAAAGTGCTTCTAACACTTCTTGAGTGCTTACTGGGCATCCTAAGTAGTTTGTTGCTTAAGGTATTAGGATACAAAAAATGACGATTTGCTCAAAAAAAAATTATTTTTTTTTGAAATTTCGTAAGTTTAAACTTTTGTCTTTCATATGTTAGTGAAACTTCTTGCAATTTTTGATTGGAAAAGCCAAAATTTTGAGACAAATCGAAATCGTGACTTTATCGAGACCGGAAATGTCCCGTCGCTCGCAATAACGTTGAGTCCAAATGCTCCTTGGTCCTTGTAAAAAGATCCTACATTGCGATCGTCCAGAACAACAGATAACTTGACAAGTGATGACAAAATGAAGGCTCAAGGTGTTTTGACCAACACCATCGTGGCTTCCTGCAGCTTCCGGCTCGAAACAAAGAAATGTATTTTTCTCGAATTGCTTTTGCCGCTAAAACCTCAACTTCAAAAAGCTAAAAGTCCCTTGGATTTCATTCGATTTTTCTAAAATTTGGAGAGTTTAAGAGGTAACTCATGATCCAAAAAAGCGTGTCTCCGATTTTTGAAATTCAATTTCTATTCAAAGTTATGACGCTTTTTACTCTGAACAACACTCCAAAAGCAATCGCCGAACTTTGATCAAAAATAGCGAGAGATATAAAACAGCCTATCAAAAATCTGGGACATCGTTTTTGAGCTTATTATCTCCTGAGTATGTTAAGACATTTTTCGCAAACATAGCTTAAAATGTACGTGTCCGTTAACGTTTTCACTGAGGCATGGTTCGAGGACGATAATGTGAATAACAATTTAAAAAATCGTATTTTGAAAAATTTTTCATAAACTATGTTTACTCAGCTTTCAGAAAATGTATACTTTGTTTGTGTTACACTATAAAGCCAGCGCGTTATTTACGTTTGCGCGCATAGTGGTCGTAAACGTATACTAATACCTTTAAAGGAGCACGGAAAGTGTTGTTTGAATCATTTTATTATATATATTTTATTATAAAGTATTTGTTCATATAGTAATTGTTTTCGGTATTGAATTTTTTACACAAAAATAAAGACGGTAGCAGGATCTAGCAGCACTTCGCGTTCGCAGATGGCGTCAGCACTCGAACAATCAGTGCACGCGTACTATCTTAACTATATAATAAAAACTATAAACTAATTGCGATTTCGAGACGGCAATACCACAATATATTTTCTTTCAACGCCGTCAAAATCGCAATTAGTTTTGTATCGCGATTCTGCTATTTTTGAATTCAAAAATAAAGGAAAAAGCAAGGGAGATGATGCTAATTTGCTTCATATTCTCATTACCTAACAGTCATCTCCCTAGCAACGGTTTCTGGAAAATGCTTGGCGTTTTTGAAAACTTTGACGGCTCTCTCTGGATCAAACTTATAGGAGAATCGCGATACTATAAAGTCAACACTTTACCTTTCATGACGACCGGGCCTTTAACACAAATTTCTCCAATCTGTCGAGATCCATTATTTGAGCCATTTTCAAGGTCAATAACCTATGAATTTAAGACCGAAAAAGTACAAAGTTCTTGTTATTTATTATGAAAAGTATAAATTTCATTAAATAACATCAGTCAAAGTTAATTTTTGAATATTATTTTCTTCTTGCTGAGTTTGTTTAGTTAGTTGTATTACTTCCAGATTGCAAAGCTAATGATTTGGTTGTCGAAAAGAATCCAGAGCATTTTAGATAAAGTGCAAGAAAAAATCACCTTGACATCCCTACAACTACTGGTAATTTAATTTGTAATAGACCTACTTATGATATTGGGCGCAAAGTTTTCCCATTTCTGACCACGCGCATTTCTCTGAAATTAATATTCTTTGTTTGTGTTGATCGTGTAATATACGGAATGATACGTGACCTGAAAAGGGAAACATTTCACCCGAGCTATTCAAGTGTCGAGGAATAAAATATTTTTGCCATGCTTTGGAAACTCTAAACGTGATCAGTTCGTGTTGCTCGAGAATTCAAAGACAAGCCTTTAAAAAAAATCATCTTAAATCAACAAGGAAAAAAATTCTTCAAAAACAAAAATCCTCTTAAATTCAACCTTTACCAAATAAGTATTTTTATGAGTTCGATTCTGTGGTCGACTTTCTTGGGTACGAACAATTAACCATTATGTTGAACAAAAAATGTTTCTAGCAAAGCTAGAAATGCCTCAAATGTTAATTCCAATTAAATTCCTTGTCATATCAAGAGATACTTTGCTCGTTTTAATATGGAGGTATAATCAGTCACTTAGAAAACAGCGAGGTTTAATTTGTTTCCGCTCGGCTCGTTGCGAATTACAAAGTATTTCTTAAGTGACCATCAAGTACCTTGGCTTGAAGATTTGGTAGCAAAACGCCTACAGATCCTGGCTTATAGAAATCCACTCTTGGACATATGCACGATGGAGAAGTTTCGGTCATTCCATATCCTAAAATTCAAACACAGTTTTCGTGAATTTTACGGGTTGGACCCATAAGTCTAAATTTAGATTTCCTAGTTCAACCTATGGTAGATTATACTCTCTTCGATCCAAAGATGCATAGGATTTCTTTGTTATTTTTTAAGCCAATGATAACGTCTCAGAATAGTAGGCAGGGCCTCACTTCTTTTGCCTGGCCGAATTTCAACGTTTCGTTTTCATGAACGAGCAGACGAGCAGCAGTGTTTTATTGGATTTAAAACCCCGAGGCATAACCTCTAGCACGTGGTTTTAGATCCGATATAAAACACGTACTGCGAGTTTATTGAACTGCTTTAAAAACGATCTCCAAAGAATATATCAAGAAATTATTGTACGGTTATTGAGCAGCTCAAAAAAAAAAAAAAAAAAAAAAAAAANAGACGAGCAGCAGTGTTTTATTGGATTTAAAACCCCGAGGCATAACCTCTAGCACGTGGTTTTAGATCCGATATAAAACACGTACTGCGAGTTTACTGAAATACTTAAAAAACGATCTCCAAAGAATATATCAAGAAATTATTGAACGGTTATTGAGCAGCTAAAAAAAAAAAAAAAAAAAAAAAAAAAGGGTTTGTACGTCACTCAGTGTTATACACAAGTTCAAGGCAGAATGCTAAACTCAAGTTAAGGGCGCTAGTCGATGAGGCTCTGATGCAGGTATAAAACCTGTCACGTAAGTAGAAGTGCATATATAACTTCCCCATCAAGTGACCTTGATGGCCTTCTTTATCAATATGAGTCAGAACTTTCATCATTGTTAAACAAGCATGCACCTTCAAAGGTCCGAATTGTCACTCTGCGTCCACCTTCCCCATGGTACTCTGATGCAATAAGAACTGAGAAAATTAAAAGGAGGAGACTTGAAAGAACTTGGCGCAAAACGGGCTTAACAATAGATCGTGATTTGTACAATAACCGATGCAAAGTGGTCCAAAACTTGATCAAAACATCTAGAAATGAATATTATTCCAATATTATATCTGATCACAAATCTGATCAAAAAATTCTGTTCTCTACTTTTGAAAAACTTACTCATAAAAATGCTCCTCCTCTCTATCCATCCTGTCTCTCTTCCTCCAAGTTAGCAAACTCTTTTTGCTGATTTCTTCGTTAATAAGATAAAGGCTATTCAAGATGGATTTATGCATGATGACACTGTCAACTCTAAAGATATAAAGACTGTACCACCTAAGAGCTACCTTACATCTTCCAATGATGTCTCAACAGAATACCTTTCTAAGTTAATTAAGCCTTTGATCTCAAAATCATGTGACCTCGATCCCCTACCAGCAACAATTTTTAAAAACTATTCAGACCTCCTGCTTCCTATAATAACGCACATAGTAAATCTTTCTCTAAAAAATGCTTGTGTACCATCAAGTCTCAAACAGGCACTTATTAAACCGGTGCTCAAAAAACAAACCTTATCGCATGAAGAATTTCCAAATTTTACGCCGATTTCTAACCTAAAATTCATTTCTAAAGTTGTTGAGAAAGTTGTTGCTGTTCAACTTCTAGAGCATCTTGAGGAAAACAACCTTCATGAAAGATTTCAATCGGCATATATGCAAAATCATAGCGTTGAGACTGCACTCCTAAAAGTACATAATGATATTCTATTAGCAATTGATAACCAGCGCTCCATTATTCTTGTACTTCTATGTAAACTTTAAACTTTATTGATGAATAAAAGAATACAAAAAAGAAAAACTATATAAC